GGTTGGCTTCACGGTCATCGCGTCTTTTCCCTGGGGTTGAGATCTTCTCGGAAGCGACTCCCCCTCTGCAGAGCAGAGCCAAAAATTTGGGGTTTTTGTCTTTCTGAGCGAGGCAACGATCGTTTCGCCTTGGGAAGCGCCTGTGGAAGGGCCACTGTCTGACCGTCTCCATCCCTCTTGTGTTTTTTTTCAGGCAACAAGGAGCTGGAGCCCCTCAAATACTGCAAGGTGGCCGCAGCAGCCTCGGTGTCCTGGCAGCAAGCGATGGCCTGCATCCAGGGCACCATGTCCCTCCTCTCTTACTGCCTGGGGAAGGGGGAGATGTCCTGAGGGACACCGGGGTGCTCCTCACTGAAGGCAAGACAGTAGAAATGAAGTTCTACTACGACTTCCTGGAGACGTTTTCTGGGAAGGAGAACTTGGAACAAGAGATTTTCAAGGTGAGTGGTTCTGTTTCTCCGTGGCGCGCGCGGGCAGTCCCATGGCGGTGGCCCGGCAGGATAAGGCCAGATGAGAGCTGATGGTCCTACCAACTCTCCCTGCCTCAGGCTCCACCAATACGGCCTCACAGCCATGTTGAGAACGTCCCACCATCTTGGAGCTCCTCCACTGCAGGTCTCCCGGCTGCTGGACATGGTGGTATCCCGGATGGTACCTGTGGCCTCCCTGAGTTTCTCTGGCCATGCCGTCATCTTTCCCGAGTGAGGACGTTGGCGGCTGTAGCCACTCTCAAGGTGACATTTGCTCCTTCTGACCCCGCAGATGCCCTCCCATGGGGCCACCCGGCAGCCACTCTTGATGTCTCTGGGCCGTGGTCGCTTCCGTAAGGCAGATTTGGTGGGTAGGATCGAGGAATTTAGGCAACACTTCCTGCCCATGGGGGCCTGGAGTCTTTGCTGGGTGACTCCTTTTCCCAGGACTCTCCTTGGGTATGGGGCATGGTGGACTTGGGGAAAAAACACGGTAGAGTTGGGGAGAAAAACAGCCTTTAGGGCAATGCCAAAATCTGCCGGTACGCATGGCGTGCGGCATGGGCTGGTGGCGCTCTGGTTCACGGCGGTGTGTTCTCCTCGTTCCCAGGCTTGAAATGGAGTTTGTGCACAAACCACCTCTCAGGGCTCTTCTCAAGACCTCGAGACAAGTCCCTGGCGAGAACGAGGAGAAGAGAGTTTCTGCCACCTCTTGGATAAGGCAAAGCAGCTCCTGACTCCTTTCAAAAGTGCCCCCAACCAAATTCTGTCACTTGACTTGGAAATCTCCGGCGCTGAGTGTCAAAGGGCTCCGACCTGTGCCAGAGCATCCCCCAGCTCGGCACAGCCGTTTGTCCTAACCACTCGTTGGCTTCATCCAAACGGAGCTGTGGGGTGGGATGCGCCCAAGGGTGTGGTGGGAGGGTGGTGATCCACGGCCACTTCCTGCCCGACAAGAAACGCCCCCCCCAGAAGAGTCCCTGTCACCTCCCCGCTCCCCCTTCCCACAGCGGGAGCTCACGATGCCGTCATAACCCCGTGGCAATGGGGCACTGGGGGCAGAGAGGCTGCGATGGCGGCTACAAGTGAACGGCCCTCTTGGACCTTTGGGGAGGGGCCGGAGCACCCTTGCGTGTCACTGGGGCTGGCAGCATCCCAGCGATGCTCTTCTGACGAGGTTTCTCCTCCCAGTTCCAGTGGGGTGTCCTGGGTTTGCTGCTCCAAGCCCACCTGACAAGTTCCAGGAGATCACCGGGCAGAAGAAGAGGAAGATCCAGTCTTTGGTCAGGTAAGGCTGAAGGCTCAGAGCTGAGGGTCTACACAGGGTTGTGTTGCCCACAGGAGAGAGATATTCTCCAGTCCTCAGGAGAGCCCCAGCATGGCCTGGGGACAAGGAGACATCCGTGTGTTCGCTGCAGGGCCCAGCTCAGGGGTTTTTTTCCTCACTCAGAGGCACAGAGAGGGTCATGGGGGGGCAGGATGTGGCCCCAAAGCCAGTGTGTCCTCAGGTAGAGACTTCTCTGCCGTTGTGTCCTTCCAGGCAGCAGCCGATGATCCTGGAGGATTCCTCTGGAGAAAAGCAGCCAGGGGACCGGGCAAGCCAAGGGCAAAGCTGCGCTCAAAGACCGAGCGTCAAAGCAGCTCTGAGCCCAAGCGCAGGCAGAGACGGCTCAGAGCTGCAGAAGAGGAGAAGGGGGAGGAGGAAAAGGAAGATGAGGACAAGTGGTGACAAATTATTGGGAGCTGCAAAGACCCAGAAAGCCAAGCCCTCCCGTCCTCAGGAGGCCTCGTACTTGGGCACACCTGTCGTAGCTGTTCTGTCAACGACGAGCTCTGAGGCCAGCCTGCCCGAGGAGGCCTCCTGCGACGGGCGCAAATGGCCACGACAGAGGGTGATATGGAGAGTGCTGTGAAGTTTCCTCCTCAGAAGTTCTGTCCGGTGCTGCATTCCGGCCCTGGAACTCCGAGGCCAAGCTGCTCGAGGAGCCCCTCGATGAACACCCGGG